TCATTAGCCCTCCTGAAGGGGAGGATTCCATAGCCATAGTGATAGGAGCTTGTTACAATCACGAAGGGACTGAGGAGGAGGAATGAGAAGGACTTGAGGAAGAAGGGAGTCATAGCCAAGTGAGGGGAAGCATCATCAAGATTGGTACTTCAACTCCAAGATACTAGAGAAGGTGAGTGGAAAGAAGGAAAAGCTTCTTCTTCTTCTTCTTTTTCTTCTTCTTCCTCTTCCTCTTCCTCTTCTTCTCCTTTTTTTTTTTTTTTTCCTTCTTCCTCTTCTTCTTCTTCTTCTTTCTCACTTTGTGTGTGCATGCTTGGGAATGAGTTACACTCACTCTTTCTTCTTGTTTTGTCGAATTCTTCACTTGGATGTAAATCACAACTTGTATTCTTGCTCATTCTAGTGTTCTAGTCATCTTGAACTGATGCTTTGTCCATTTTTTCACTCCCACTCCATAATGAATCGCTATTTCCCACTTTGTGTATGCATGCTTGGGAGTGAGTTACACTCGCTCTCTCTTCTTGTTTCGTCCAATTCTTCACTTGGGTGTAAATCGCAACTTGTATTCTTGCTCATTCTAGTGTTTTCATCTTGAGCTCATGCTTTGTCCATTTCTTCACTCCATAGTGAATCGCTACTTCCCACTTTGTGTGTGCATGCTTGGGAGTGAGTTACACTCATTCTCTCTTCTTGTTCCGTCCAAATCTTTACTTGGGGGTAGATCGGTACTTGTGTTTTTATTCAGTCCAGTGTCATGAGTGATGTAACCATTCCTCTACCCATGTGCCTGTCTGAAGTTAAGTCTCACGCTCCCCATGCTCTATTTGAACCCCGCTTATTCCCCCCCTCTCATGCTCTAATCAAACGTGGTGAATAGGAGAGGGGGAAAAATATCTTTTTTTTTATTAGGATTGTTCTTGCTGTTCATAATAATCTTGCTCCTGCTGGTGATGCCTGGCCAAGCCCCTGGCTGCTAATGCTACTGCTGAAAAGTCGATGGCCAACCTCCGGAGCACGGGCCGGTCCGGAAAAGGGTCCAAGGGGCCAATGCGACCTGGAGGCGCTTAGGCCAGTTCCGCCAAACCAAGGATATGAGGGCTGGGACTTCTCACACCTCATATCCGAGGCATAAACAGATAACCTGCAGAGCCTGCAGGTCGTCTGAGTCATTTTCCAAAAAAAACGGGAAATGGACTCTACCGAACTGTTCGCCTTGAAACCCGGGCGGCGCCCGGAAAGGGCAAGTAAGGGCAAACGACGACGGAATCACCTTTAATTTTATAGCAATCTTCCGTAGGGTACAGACAGAGAGCCCACCAAGTTAGGAGTGATTCTGACGTCGTTTGGGGTAGGAAACAAAAACCTGTGTTTTTCGGTCCTCCCTCAAGCAAAAACGACAAAAATCTGCAAAATCTACAAAATCTGCAAATCTGCAAAATCTGCGTTTTATGAAATCTGTGTTTTTGCAAGTCTGTGTTTTTGCAAGTCTGTGTTTTTGCAAGTCTTTGTTTTTCTGCATATCTGTTGCAGGATTGGTTGCTGCAAATCAGAGTTTCTTGAAATCCAAGACTATGGATAACTTAGGGGAGACCAACCCGAACACTTAAAATAGGGGGAGATATCGATCACCTCACACCTTCCTCCTCCATCTTCTTCACCCATCCTCCATAGCCAACCATCTCACACCGCCTCCCTCCTCCATCTTCTTCACCCATCCACCATAGTCAACTACCTCGCGACTTCTTCCTCCTTCATTTTCCTCACCCATCCACCATAGCCGACCACCTCACACCTTCTTCCTCCTCCATCTTCTTCACCCATCCGCCATAGCCAACCACCTCACATTTTCTTCCTCCTCCATCTTCTCCACCCATCCTCCATAGCCAAACCACCTCACACCACCTCCCTCCTCCATCTTCTTCACCCATCCACCATAGCCAACCACCGCACACCTTCTTCCTCCTTTTTCACCCATCCTCAATAGCCGACCACCTCACACCTTCTTCCTCCTCCATCTCCACCCATCCTCCATAGCCAGCCATCTCACATCTTCTTCCTCATCCATCTTCTTCACCCATTCTCCATAGCCGAACACCTCGCACCTTCTTCCTCCTCCATCTTCTTCACCCATCCTCCATACCCTATTGCCTCACACCCTCTCTATTACATCTTCAAGGCCACACGGGTCCTACTAGACCCGACTTAGGGCTAGAGGGACACATTAGGGCCTAAAGGCCCGACCTTGGGGATTAACAGGCCGAAAGGCCACGACTTGGACCAGATTACGGA